AGTAATCAGCTCAATGATTCGCTGGTCGCCATCGCCTTGTCTGCGCCTTTATTCTGCAGGCGCGCGGCTGGTTGTTCGACCACTGCGTTGTTTTCGTCCCGCGAGTCGTCTAGTCGGTTGGCTACTGGAACGTTTCTATCTCACGAGTTGTATTATTGGCAGCGATTCTGGTCGCTGGTCGTCATGTCTGCAAGTAGAAAACATATGAATTGACAGCCAAAAGCCCCACGAAAGGTGCCAAACTGTAGCAGGTGAAATTCTACGGTTGAATTTATATGAGGCCATCAAATCCAGACGATTTGCAGTGTTAGTAAAAGAAAAAATAGTAAAAGACAGAAACACGATAACTTTTTAGAGATTCACTCGCTAATAAGAGCTATGTCATCTATAGGGTTTTCGGTATGCTTCCACTGTAATCTGAGAACAATTACAATGACGTTGCGAATAGGACGAGGATAAGAGAAGAGGGGAATCTGGGAAAACAGGAAAAATATGAGAGAACTGAGGTAAACTAGTCCTAAACTCTGTAAAATATGCTCCAAATGCAACTGCGTTGGAGGCTAAGGCTTGCTCTCTTGTGCATGTAAAAGGTAAAAAATACACGAAAAGTCCTTTAGGCGTAATTTGCTCCCTTTTTATAGGCTTGATGATGACTGGAATTCTTGTTAGATAAGGATTCAAATTTGAATCTTGAATGAAGATCTCTCTTGATATGTTTTTCATTTGAATAAATGATTTAGATATGAGAATATCCTGTCTTGGTGGCTAATCTTCTTGTTAAAGAAAGATTTGCTATTTAAAATTCTAACTGTTGGTCTACCCATTTGAATATTTGGATAGGGAATGAGATAAATCCTTTCTAGAAGAGATATCATCGTCCAAGATATGATTTTCGATAGAGAAATCATTGTAGCTATACCTTAAAATAAGTGACTTGCACGCCAAGTCGTCTGGGTAATTGGGCGGCTCATTTAAGGAGCTATTGGCCTATCAAGTTATCGGGAGCTCGTAGCTCGTTCTTGATGTGTTGGAGTCATTTACGCAGGTTGTTGTTTGATCTGAAGGACTGCCGACTCAATAAATGGCCTGTCGTCCATGAGAAGTTCGTTTAACGACTCACTAAATTGACGAGCTGTCAAAGGCTGTAGGACAATTTTGGACTCCAATTCTACAATTGGCCCTCTTCTTAATGGGAACATCCCTCGTATAAGTAATTTATAATAAATTCTCCTTTTCATTTCGTGAATTTAAATTTTTAATTCGAATTAAAATGTGATATTTTTTAAAAGTTTTTCACTGTAACAGAAAAAGTTAAATGTGATATTTTTTAAAAAATTTTTACTATAGAAACTTAAAACTGAAAACTCAAATCGGTGAAATAAACGAAACTTAAGTAACCTCTTCTTTTTAATTATCAGTTTGTTTAATTTGTTGATTCGAGTTTTTAATTCGAATTAATATATAATTTTATGTGAAAATTTTTTATTATAATAAAAAAATTAAATATAATTTTTTCAAAACTTTTTACTGTAATAAAACTTAAATTTTAAAATTAAATCAGTTAAATGAACGGTGTTTATATTAAAAGAGCGGAAGTCGCTCCACTGTAGACTTTCGTAGTCCTCAACGCACCGTTTGGTGCTTTTACTCTTTTTTTTTCTTTTCCCTATTCTTCCTTTATCTTTGCTCTTCCTTTTTCTACTAGCCTATTTTTCTTTTTTATTTTCTTTTTAAACTCCGATCTTTATCTTTTTATTTTTTATTTTTCCTTTCTTTCCTTTACTCTCTTTTTTTTTTTTTTTCCTTTCTTTATTTTTAACTCCGTTTGTGTACAGTGGGCTTTTACACCAATATTTCCATACATCCCTTTCTCTTTTATTTTATCTTCATATCAACGTTACCGCTCCCACGTGTGGTTTTTAAACCTTAAATCTCAATTTTGTCATTAGAATAAACTCCTTGCTTGTGATTTCTAGTGATCTATTTTGAATTACATTCTGGTCAGTTTCTTTTATTCATTTCACGGTCAACCTCTAAAAGTTAAAAACAGTGAGTTAGAATAAAACAAATGTATATCTTCAAAAATTATTTATGCAAATAACTCTTTTTCTTTTAGAATTTATAGATAAAATTTTTCTTATATTCATCCTTTCTATTCATAATCTACATTTTTTTTAATCTATTAATAAATTCTTATTTACGTTATAAAAAATTCAATTACAACTTAGTATGTTCATCACTTGCACCTCAACTATAATATATATATATATATATATATATATAGACATACATGCATATATAATATCCTAAATCTTAATTTCTAATCCTAATTCTAAATCGAAATCCTAAATATGGCTTAGATGGCTTATTTTTTCCCTCTTTTTTTAAGTTTCAACTCATTTACTTTTTTTCAAAATTTTATCATATGTGGTTTTTTTTTTAATTTCATGGTAGTTTAAGTTTCACTTTTTATTTTTTTATTTTATTATCTTATAATTTATATTGTTTCATGTATTTATATAATTAAACATAACTTTTTCCTTGAAGTATTATTAATGCATATCATGTTTCAATTTTTAAGTAGATTTTTTCTTCATATTATTGTCTGTATTGTACATTACAAAAATTTCAATCACAACCCAATACATGCATCTCACGTTTCTAAACTAGTTGTTAGAAAAGAACGAACTATCCCGTGTACTGTGATACTTATATGGTAATGGCACATGTTTTCCCCTCTAGATTCAAAGTTTCTAATTAAGCCCCTTGATTTCATGATTCGATTCGAGTTTTGTTAGAGTAAAAAGCTCTCAGAAATAATCACATCTAATTTTTTTATTACAGTAAAAAATTCTCATATAAAATTACATCTTAACTAGAATTAAAAACTCGAATTAATGAACTAAACATGCCCAAGTTCATTTTAGCCTCATTCATTTCACCTATTTAAATTTTTAATTTTAATTTTACTACAGTTAAAAATTATTATAAAATATTACATTTAATTTTTTTACTATAATAAAAAATAATTATATAAAATTATATCTTAATTTAAATTAAAAACTTAAATTGCAAACTGAATGACGTTTTTATTGATGCTTCTGAACAATTGTGCTCGTGTCATGTCTCCACTTTTCAGATAAGATTAATTTTTGTCCAAAAAAAAAAAAAAAACTCTTTTTCAGCCGAAATAAGTTGGAAAAGAAGGAGAGGAAAAACCATTTAAAAAATAATAATAATAACTGCGGGAGACACGGGGCATGCTGATGATCAGTATCGACTTCTTACCGCTACTGCGGACTGAAGAACACTGGATTACTACCACGAGCCGACTCGGCTTGCCGACGCCTAACCAAGCCGATTTTGCGCCGGTTGCTACCCTTACAGATACTGACGTCATCAAGTTATGGATCACAGACGTCAGCAACATTTAACCAAGCATTGAGCGGAGACTACGTGGCAGAATTATTGACGCTCATATCTTCTTAAGTTCTTTTGCACACGCCTAAATTCCGCGCGTCTGAACACGTGCCACAAATCTGTTTTCATTTTATTTTTGGAAAATGTTTTTTTTTTTTTTGGAATAGTTTTATATTTCATCTTATATATACTTCTGATATAATATCATATATAAACAGCTAGTAGCATAGTAAGACATGCTAAAGATTAAAGTGCATAATTTCCTCCAGCTAAAAAATGCATAGTTCTCGTAAGTATTCACGTAATTATATCTATATTTGAGAAAAAAAATTATCAGTTTCTAAAAGAATATGTATCCTCTTTATACTGTTTATATTTCTGAAGCATCACATTTAGTACTTAATCTTCAAAAGCACAATAATATCCACTAAAAAAATAAAAAAGGAGGGAAAAGTAAAAATAGCCAGTAGAACCTTTTCTTTTAAGGTATATCTAAGGATTTTCATAGAATATATATTTAATGTTTTCTGAAATATCATTTTGTTTAAGTTTCTATATGACTGTAATATATTTTTCATATAATTATTTCTATAGTTAAGAAAATTGAGCCCGGTTGGTTCATGGATTAAAACCATAAGATTAGAATTATTTTTGATTTATATGTGCTTTTTGTGAGAGAAAATACTGTAACGAACTATGAATCATAATTCGAATTAGAGAACGAATCCTCTAACTAAACATAATTATTTAGTCGCTTCAAAAAAATTCCTATTAATAATCTAAAATTTTAATTATTATATTTTCATCATGTTCACTAAATTTATATTTTACTTTAATTTTTAAATGCACTATTTTAGTAGAGAGACACTACAAAACAATAACAAAACACATGCAACTCATAGGTTCTTTTTATTACGATATAAAATTTCATTGAATGTTTGAGAGTTTCTCCTGTAGGATTAAAAAAATAGAATTATCGGTAGTTTTATTTTTTTCAGCCATCAAATCTGCATCAAAAATTATCTATTATGTATAATTTTTCAATCTTAATTTTGATCATATTTAACGATTAAAAAGTTAGTCCTACTGGTATGACGGCTTATCAGAAACAGTCCTTAAATGTTATTCACTTCTACATATCTTTTAAACTAGATCCAATTAATATTCACACATGTAAAGTTTAACTCAATCTAACAAAGACCTGATAGTTAACAACTATACTTGTAGGTCTCGTTTACTTCGCGGATTTGAGTTTTTAATTCGAGTTAAAATGTGACATTTTCTGAGAGCTTTTTACTGTAATAAAAAAAGTTAGATGTGACATTTTCTAAGAACTTTTTACTATAAAAACTTAAAACTAAAAATTTAAATCAGTGAAACTAAAAATTCGAATAAGTGAAATGAATGATGCCGTATTTTTCTTACTAAACTTCTCATATTTTTTTTTAAGGGTAATGGGGTAAACTCAACTTCTCATTTAAGACCAAAAAAAAAAAAAGAAATCTCAATGTGGCGCGTGGGACTCGCCAGTTCCAATTGACCCCATTTCTTTCAAGTTTCCATTTGTTCCCATCAAAATAATAACGTTAAATATTTTGTGGAGGAGTTCTAATTTCTCCTATCATTTCTCTCTTTTTATCTTAAAATAAATTTCTCCACTCTTTCCTCCGGAGATTAAACCAACTCTCTCCCCTCTCAAATTCATCACAATTATCTGCTCCAAAAATCCCATTTCCCCATGTCCAAAACACCATAAAACTAACCCTTTTCATCACCCTCTTCAATTAATTTCTCTTCTGTCATAATAATAATATTTCCATGGCCAGCAATAGTAACGTACTCACAAGTCTACAGAGAAAACCGACCAAAAAGACAAGCGCTAATAACAAGACCAAGAAAACCAGGCCTGTTAAAGTTGTTTACATCTCAAACCCAATGAAGATCAAAACCAGCGCATCAGAATTCAGGGCCTTGGTCCAAGAGCTCACCGGCCAAGACGCCGAGTTCCCCGACCCCACCAAGTTTCTGGCCACCAACGGTGAAGATCAAGTGGGTGTTGATTCAACGGTCAAGATTGGAGGAGACCATAGCAATAGCCAAGAACAGGGCGCCACGGAGAGTAATAATTCTAGTACTACTACTACTTCGAGGTATGAGGCGTTAGACGACGACGTTTTCATGCCGCAGATGATGGAGAGCTTTGAGGCCGGGATTTTCCCGTCAAGTGCTACTGCTAGTGTGTGGTATGATTCTGCTAATTATCATCAAGTTCATGATGTGATTAGAAGCCTTGATGCAATGTAAAATGAAATTTTAAGGCGAAAAAAAAAAAAAAAAGAAAAACAATCTACTGTGGTAAGGCTCATGTTTGATCTCTCTGCTACTCCATGTATAATGTTTGACAAACATAGACGCGAGGTCTTTAACCATTATGTCGTTTGATGATCATTTCTTTTCTTTGTCTTTTCTGATCTTCTTTTTAGTACTTTTAAATCTACAGTACTAGACCAGACGAATCGTGTGTATAATTTGTGCCATATAGCTTTCTTGGATCTCCCTATTCGTGGATTTAATAGATAGATGTATTGATCTCTTGTTGAATTGTTTGTTTTGTCTTATTATATTTATTAAATTAGATGCGTATTGATTTGGGTAAAATTGTTTGTTTCTAGCAAAAAAAAAAAAACAGAAAAAATAAAATAAAATAAAAAACTCTAAATATCTATGTACATATATATATATATATATGTATGTATATGTGTGTATCTTTATACATGAGAATCTAACCAAGTAGCTGAACTTATGAAGTTGAAGCAGAAGAAAGATGTGCAAAATTGAAGAGGGAGTATAATATGTATGGGGTCCAAATCACGTTTTGTCAACCTCTCTCTCTCTCTCTCTCTTTTTCTCTTTTTTCGTGAATGTCATTATATCCTAAAGACGTTTGTGGAGACATACTTCAGTTTTTCTTTCCC